TAAATCAGTATATTAGAATGATTTCTGAAGATCATGTGACACTGAAGACTGGAGTAATGATGATGGAAATTCAGCTGTGCATCACAGAAATAAATTAAATATTAATGTATATTAAAATAGAAAAACTTTATTTTACATCGTAATAATATTTTACCATATTAAATTATTTTCCTGTATTTTTGATCAAATAAATGCAGCCTTGATGAGTAGAAGAAACTCCTTTAAAAAACATAGTTCTGATCCCTGTGTGTGTGTGTGTGTGTATATATATATAGGTGTGCTTGACTGGCCAGCAAACTCACCAGACCTGAACCCCATAGAGAATCTATGGGGTATTGTCAAGAGGAAAATGAGAAGCAAGAGACCAAAAAATGCAGATGAGCTGAAGGCCACTGTCAAAGAAACCTGGGCTTCCATACCACCTCAGCAGTGCCACAAACTGATCACCTCCATGCCACACCAAATTGAGGCAGTAATTAAAGCAAAAGGAGCCCCTACCAAGTATTGAGTACATGTACAGTAAATGAACATACTTTCCAGAAGGCCAACAATTCACTAAAAATGTTTTTTTTATTGGTCTTATGAAGTATTCTAATTTGTTGAGATAGTGAATTGGTGGGTTTTTGTTAAATGTGAGCCAAAATCATCACAATTAAAGGAACCAAAGACTTAAACTACTTCAGTCTGTGTGCATTGAATTTATTTAATACACGAGTTTCACAATTTGAGTTGAATTACTGAAATAAATGAACTTTCCCACGACATTCTAATTTATTGAGATGCACCTGTATTCGTGGGCTGTTTTGACATTTCCCCAGGGACATTTCAGCAGACAGCTCCAGTCAGGGACAGGACACCAAAAAACAGGATTGTCCCCAGAAACGGAGGCCGTCTGGTCACAATTTTGGTGGCAATTTTGTCTCAAGGCCCTGTTAATTTTTCTAACAACCTAATAGTAATTAGGACTGATATATTAAACAATTTATATTTTTGAACGTGTTAATAACTCTGTTAACACAATCATTAATTTTGTTCTGTGGTTTCTATTAAAAAGCAGTTTGCTTATCCCTCTTTCTCTTCCTCATGTTTTTCAGTGTCAATTCAGGCATCTACAAAACCAGACCTGAACCTGGTGTTGTGTGGAAGTGATGCTGCTCTGAAAGCCTCTGTATTGAAATGGTTCATGGGGGAAAAAACACTTTCTATGTCACATCAGACGTTCAGCTCAGAGTGTGTGATGGAGGAGGAGAAGATTCATGGTCATCTGATGAGTCTGGTGACGCTTCCAGCTCTGACTCTGCTCTCAGAGGAGGACGTGATGCATCAGACTCTCAGCTGTGTGTCTCTCTGTGATCCTGGAGTTCATGTTTTCCTCCTCATTGTTCCTGATGCTCCACTGACTGATGAAGACAAAGCAGAAATAGAGAAGATCCAGAAGATATTCAACTCCAGAGAGCACTTCATGCTGTTTTTCATCTCAGATCTCACTGTTGGAACACTAGTGACAGATTTAGTCAAATCCAGACCAGAATATCAGATGTTAATCAGAAGTTGTGGAGGTCAGTACAGAGTGATGGGGTTAAAGGAACCTGAATACTCCAGACAGATCCCAGAACTGCTGGATTATATAGAGAACATGAAGACTGAACCGTATTCACTTCAGATGTATATGAAAGCTCAGGAGAACCGAGTCAGATGTGAAGCAGAGGAGAAATATAAAGAAGAACTGAAGAGAATGGAGAATGAAAATGAAGAGTTAAAGCAGAAGATTCAGTCAGAAGGTGAGTGGATAATATTCTTTTAAAATAAAATGTTTTTTATATGATTTCCATCATGAAGTTCAGTCTTGCAAATCTGAGTCAGCGGTTCCCAGCCCTGTTCCTGGAGGCACACCAGCACAACACTTTTTTAAACGCTTCATAATCAAACGCACCTGAATAAACTCATCAGCCAATTAGTAGAGACTCCCAAGACCAGTGCCTTGTCCAAATACTCGCACTTGCAGTCTTGGCCAATTGAGAGCATGTGTGCCCGACAGCAAGTAAGTGTGCAAGACTGTCCCAAGTCTTAAAACAGCCAAAGCGCAGTGCCCTTAATGCACACTAAATCCACACTATCGCGAATACTGCTTTTGCTTGCTGAATCCAGTTTGTTCTTTTACGCGAAGAGTGAAAATTACATTCTGTGACTCTAAAATATTCACATATTAAAGGGCACCTATTATGCAAAATCCTCTTTTACGAGGTGTTTGGACAGAAATGTGTGTTGGAATTGTGTGTACACAGCCATCTTAGAATGATAAAAATCCATCCAGTCTTTTTTTTAATCTTCATAAAACCAAACCAGGCTCAAAAAACGAGTGGTTTGGATCCTGTCCGCAATATGACGTCATATTGTGGTAGGCCCGCCCACCGCTATTGACTGACAGGTGCATATTACCATATCCTCAGCTCTCAGTGTGTTGTGCCATGTCCGGCATTTTGTCTTCGTGTGATCAGCTGATCCATCATTACAAAGCGGCTGTGAAAAACTATGGAAGTACATAAAAGATTCAGACTACCATTCTGAGACATTCTGGTTCATTTGCATTATTGTTTCTTCTGCTGTAGTCTCTCCTTGTTCTGGGTCTGAATACCGGTCCTCTCGCTCGCTCATGTTGCTTCTCCTCTTTGTTTATTGCCATACGCAAAGCAGAGATGTCTAGGATCCGCCCTCTTCTGCAGTCGGATGGGAAGTTGCAGCTCATTTTCATGTAGGTCAGTGGTTCTCAAGCCTGTCCTTGAGTACTCCAGCCCTGCACATTTTGTAAGTCTCCCTCATCTATCACACCAGATTCACCTCATCAGCTCATTAGTGGAGACTGCAAGACCTGAAGTGGGTGTGTCAGATATAGGGAGACATACAAAATGTGCAGTGCTGGGGGTACTTCATGGAGAGGTTTGAGAACCCCTGATGTAGGGGAACTGCCCCAAAAATTACACTTTTCAACACGTTATAATAAACGATCTGTATGGTATTTTGAGCTGAAACTTCACATGCACATTCAGGAGAGCCAAAAGATTAATATTACATCTTGTAAAAAAGGGTCATAATAGGTGCCCTTTAAGTGGCATGTTCAAATTCAGTTCTTCATGACCATTTACCTTCATCGCTTTATTTGCTGTACCTTTTAGACATTTTAAGTCTATATGTGAATGCCTGCAATGCAGCCTTAGAATCTGGCCAAGAATGAGGTGTGTTATAAAGAACTGTAACTATGATTCCTACATTTTAGTATCGCCTTTGCATCAGAAGCATATATGATGCCTTAAAATTCTGCAGTAGGCTTGCAGAGTATGAATGTCATTGTGCAAAGTAGATGAACAAGTAATTGAAATGCTGGTGTTATTTGCTCAATTAACCAACTGCAACTTCTGCAGTCCAGTATAATCATTTGTAAACATCTACACTTCTTTTCAGTCTTTTTGTGTTTTATTTATTTATTTATTTTGTACCAACATGATTTTCAGGTGCTGAAGGTGAAGCAGATGATCTGGAGCAACTGAGGATTGTGTTGATCGGGAGAACAGGAAGTGGAAAGAGTGCAACAGGAAACACTATTTTGGGTAGAAAGGAGTTTCAGAGCCGATTGAGCACAGATTCAGTGACGACTGTTTGCATGAAGGGGGTTGTTGAAGTTGATGGTCGATCAGTAACTGTTGTTGATACTCCAGGACTCTTTGACACGACACTGACAAATGAACTAGCGGTGGAAGAAATAATGAAATGTGTTTCACTGTCGTCACCTGGACCTCATGTGTTTGTCATTGTGTTGAGTTTAAGATTAACCAAGGAAGAAACAGACACTGTAGATCTGATAAAGAAGATCTTCTTTAGTTCAGCTCAGTTCAGCATCGTTCTGTTCACTAGAAGAGACGAACTTGAGGATGAATCTATAGAGGATTATGTGAAGAGAAGTACCAATGCAGAACTGAAGAAACTGATCAGAGATTGTGGAAACAGATTCCTGGCTTTCAATAACAGAGAAAAACAAGACAAAACTCAAGTGATTCAACTGTTAAACATGATAGAAGAGCTGAAAAATACTAATGAGGGTCGATACTTCACTAACAGCATGTTTGAGGAGGCAGAGATGTCCATTAAGAAGAGAATGGAGGAAATACTGAAACAGAGAGAAAAAGAAATTCAGGCACAAAATGAAGCATTACAAGCCAAATATGAGCTGGACATGAAAAACCTGTTGAAGAGACTCAAGGAAGAAAAACAAAGAGCAGATGAGGAGAGAATGAAGATGGAGAATCAGTTCAGAGAAAATGAGGAAAAACTCAGAAAAGAGTTTGAAGAGAAAGAGAAAACAGAACAGAATAAAAGAGAGATTGAAAACCAGAAACGATCAGCTGAAGAACAACAGCAAAGAGCTGAATATCATCAAAAAATAGAAGAAATTAAGAGAGAGACTGAAAACCAGAGATCACAGTATGAAAAACAGCAAAAAGAAAGAGAAGAAGAAGATAGAAAGAGAGAAGAGAAATACAGACAAGATCAAGAACAGATGAGAAATGATCAAGAACGTGTTATAACACAATTAAAGATGAAAGAAGAAGAAGAAATAAAAAAGAGAGATTTGGAGGAGAAAAGGAGGAATGAAGAAGAAGAGGAGGAGAGACAGAAATGGAAAAGAAAAATAAAAGAGGCTGAAAATGACAGAAAAGAGACTCAAGAGGAAATTAAACGACAGCAGAGAGAATGGGAGGATGAAAAGAAACGACAGATGAGAGAACACGAGGAAGAAGAGAGAAAGAGAAAAGAGACACACAAGAAAGAGCTGAGAGAAAAACAAGAAGAACTGGAGAAAATGAGAAAGAAATTTGAAAGAGAGAGAGAAGAAGAAAGATTGAATATGGAGGAGAAGCGACAGAAACAGAGAAGAGAAAGAGAAGAAAAAGAGAGAGAATATGAAGAAAAGAAACTGGAAACAAAAATATATTATGATCAGCTGGAGCGAGAGAGAAGAGAGGAGTGGGAGAGAAGAAAACTAGAAGATGATGAGAGACGAGAAGAAGAGAGAAAGAGATGGGAGAAAATGATTGAAGATCTGAAACAAGAGCAAGAAGAAGAGATCAAGAAAAGAGAAACAGAGAGAAAAGAAAGAGAAGAGAAAGAGAGAGATGAAATGAAACACAAACATGAAGAGGAAATAAAAGTCGTGAAGAAGAAACATAAAGATGAAGCCAGAAAACAAGCAGAAGAGTTTAATGAGTCGAAAGAAAGAAAACTGCAGCACGTTCTGGAGCTCACAGAGATGCTTAAAGAATGTCAAGAACAACATGAATCACTGGTGAAACTCCATCAACACCTGAAAGTGCAGACAGGAGAAGAAATAAAAGAACTAGAACTAGAAGTTGAAAAACTGAAAAATAAGTCACGCTGTGTTATTCTGTGAATTTATTTAAGCATAAAGTCAAGACAATATTACTGTAATGCCTCAGTTTTATTTTGTATAGTTACTTAACTGAAGATTTTGTTCTGTGATTATTTTTGAGATTTCTGGATACTGTTTGATTGGAATTTGATTGAAAAAAATTTCAAGATATTGTTAAAAGATATTCTGTAATAGGCAAAAAAATACAGTTTCATTTTATATGTTCTAATGCCTAGAAAAGTTACTTCAATGAACAAGAAAGAGAATATATATAAAGAGATGACCGTGGACTTCAGGAAGAACCCCCTGCACTCCCCCCACTCACCATCATGGACAGCACTGTGACTGCAGTGGAGTCATTCAGGTTCCTGGGCACCACAATCTCTCAGGACCTGAAGTGGGACACTCACATAGACTCCATTGTTAAAAAGGCCCAGCAGAGGTTGTACTTCCTTCGCCAGCTGAGGAAGTTCAGCCTGTCACAGGAGCTGCTGAAACAGTTCTACTCCGCCATCATTGAATCTGTCCTCTGCACTTCAATAACTGTCTGGTTCAGCTCAGCTACCAAATCTGACCTCAGAAGACTACAGAGGGTAGTCCGGACTGCTGAGCGAATCATTGGTACAACCCTCCCTTCTCTCCAAGAACTGTACTTATCCAGAGTGAGCAAAAGGGCTGGCAGAATCACTCTGGACCCCTCACATCCAGCACACTCCCTCTTTGAACTGTTGCCATCTGGTCGACGCTACAGAGCACTGAGCACCAGAACGACCAGACACAGGAACAGTTTCTTCCCTCAGGCCATCCATCTCATGAACACTTAACAATAACTGTGGAACACACACTATTTATTCACTCATAGACTTATCTAACACTCATACTCAGTCTACATTTCAATTTTGCACTAATATACCTGTACCTTACAAAACTATCTATTGTAATATACCTGTACATACAATTTTCAATTTGTATATTGTATTCCTTATTTACTTGTTCTATTTTTTATTATTTTTTTTTTATTATTATTATTATTATTATTTTTTATCTGTGTTTTTTGTTCTGTCACTGTCATTCTATTACACTGTGGAAGCTTCTGTCACGAAAACAAATTCCTCGTATGTGTAAAAATACCTGGCAATAAAGCTCATTCTGATCCTGATTCTGATGTAATAACTGCAGTGGGTTTGTGAGTTGATAAAAAGTTAATTAGTCAAATCATAAAAATTTAAAATAATAATTTAAACACTTGAACACTAAAATATAAATATTTTATTTGTTCATCTGCAAGTCAATGTGACCGTTAACCAACATCAGAGAACTGTAAACATGCAAATGTATTTACTGAAATATTAACTTTTCTGAGTTATTTCAAGTAAATATTTTATTTTAAGGGACCTGTCTGACAAAAACTTTTGGGAATCCCTGCATTATATGAACAAAAATTAATAAACATGAAAACAACAATGACATTTCATGACAGCTATGCATCACCAGTGTTTAGTAACTTCCATAATTATTTGTTTCATACATGGTCTACTGTAATTGCTTGAGATGTCCTTTTCCCCCTCAAATTTAGAAGCATGGTTTGCAAATGTATTTACAGTACATTTGAGAATATAGTCATAGCTAAATGGTAGGATTTTTAGAGAAAAAATAAGAATTAGGGAGAATCAATAAATTATAATTGACTGCCATTGTGTGATTAAAATATGTAATCCATAAAAGTAACTGTAATCTGATAATGAACATTTTAAAATGTAATATACTCTAATTACAAGTACTTTTTTTTTTTTTAATCTGATTACATAATCCAGATTACATGTAATCAATTACTGTACATACTACGTTCAGTCAGTGAGGTCAATCTAAGTATTTTAGGATTGATAAAAAAAAAGTTTTAGCATATTGATGCTAGATGCATGGTATCATTCATGTCTGTGAATCACAAGCGGTGCAGGACGAGTTATGTACCGGAAAATTGAAGTATGAGCAATAATAATAGTGATGATTGCTTTAGCAAACATCCCGTAATAACAGGATAATTCTTCTGAAAATAAACTCCTTAAAGCTTTTCTGTCCTTAGGTGGAAAGTGCTATGCTCCTGCATTAGAGGGGGCTATTTTCTCACTTTATGGAGTACACATGCAACCATTTTCTCTATACAGGCTGGGATGAAATCCCAACAATTCAAATTCTGTAGGATTAACCAAAGGCTTGTAAAATCCCATTCATTTATATATGGGCATTTAACATACTCTGCCTTAAACTCATTTTTGATTGTACAATGTGCATTTCAAACGATCTGGGACATCTGCCAGGACATGAAGAGCACAGATTAAGGCAAGGTCAAAAAAATGTATTCTCAAAGGTTTTTAAAGGCCCTTCCCTTTCAAACGACTGAAGGCTCATAAGTAGGCCTGTCAGCACACCATATAGCAGACCCCACGATGATGTGCTCCAGAACTATTTACATGATCAGGTGTTTCCTCAGGCTGAGGCGAAACACAATGAAAATAATAGCAGTCTTGAATTTAAAGTCCCTTCATTGCCGTAAGAGAGATCCCTAATGGAGACAGGCAATGAGGTTAGGTGACAGCCACACAAAAGGACAAAACTGGTCCGTTTGAAACTGAGAAGAGCAGTTATGACTTCGGGAATAATGAGCGATTTTAATGAGAGACATTAGGATGGCGATTCGTGAATGAGACTGCTCCACTGACAGTGGGTTTGGCAGATCCCTTCTTTTACTAATTTGAATTATAATTAAAAATAATTTGAGCAATCATTCCTAATTATATTCTCATATGTATCAACACTGGGACAGCAATGATACAGGTGAGATCGACATCTTGGAGTCCTTCCATTTGATATTTGATCTAGGTGTACACATTGCTGTCCCAGTGTTGATACATATGAGAATATAATTAGGAATGATTGCTCAAATTATCATGCTGAGAAGAAAATTGACACTTATTATATCTCATTAGATGGTCTTTCAGAGATAAACGTCAAATAATTTTATGGAAGTAATGTGCATTTTCCTAAAAGTAAACTTCATACTCTTTTTTTTTTTTTTTCTCCATATTCAATTTTTGGTTTTGATTTTAGATTTTAATCAATGACCTGGATGTTTTTGTGCGATTTACCCATATATCTTTGAACTCAGCTCGCCATGCTGCAGTCTAAAAGACTTTCTCTATCCTGAAGACTCATGGGTAGTGCCTGTCCCTCTGTGGTTGCATCTCCGGATCCTCATAACTGATAGACTCCAAACAAGAGGGCCCCTCCCAATTATATAACACAGAGTCCATCGCTTTCATCACAGACAATTGACTTAATTACAGCTCTAAGCAGACCATGGTATTAATCATATTGCCATATCTTTGATTTTCAAGCTTTGTTCCAATAATGGTACTCGGGCTACATAAACACACAATTTACGTTGAAGTAACCAGTATAAACAAAATTTACACCAAATGTGATTACAACTAAATGGGTCTCTTTAAAATTACGCTTGTGGTCTGAAATAGGCCCATAAAGGACTGTTTCTACCTCAAGTACTTGCGGTTCCGTTGTTGTTTACGTGTGGACTTATTTACGCATGGCTGACAGGCAATAGGAAAGTCTTTGGGGCCTGGGATTTTTTTTCTGGAAAGGCTCCATTTAGCTTATCCGAATAAAGTACGGCACAGGCCTAAATGAGGCAGTGCTGTTGGAAACATGGGAAACTATCAAAATTTAATGGTGACAGACAAACAAGGTTAATGTTAGATGCAGAATAAAGAGCTCTAGGCATGCTATAGGCTACACAAGACAAGATTCAAGACCTTTGCTTACTAAACCATCACACATGGCTCCGTGGTAGTGCTTGGCTTAACACGGCACATAAACAGTCCGTAATGAACACTGCATTGGAAGAGACCTTAAGTGTCTCTGTTTTTATCCATTTCTAAACAAATAAATTAAATGTCTTTGTACCTGATTATTCCTTTCTACAAACAGAACACAGTCCCATCTGTAAAGACAGAGTTGAAGTTAGATAAAACGCACTTTAACGATCTAAAAAGCTAAGACAAAAGCAAATATGAGAATAAAAAAATTAAGTCAACATTTTCTTCAACTATAGACACATTTGGCCCTGTGGACTACATCTTTCTTAAAATTCTCTCTCAAAACACCTTTCACATTTTCTTTTCCCTTCACAATGTAATTTCCACCACATCTCACATGATCCAAACAAAATTTACACCAAATGTAATTACATCTACAGTAAATGAGGGTTACACTTTATTTTAAGGTGTCATGTTTAAAATAAGTTAGATAAAAAACTAATCTAAAAAGTAGTCAGAATACATTACCTAAAATGTGTAACTAGATTACATTACGCACTACAATTTTTATCATGTAATGAATCATGCAATTTGTAAGTAATCTACCCAGCACTGGCTTTGTACCAAAAATAGCTGCACTATGTATACACATATGCAATATGTAGTTATCTTCATATCTACAAGTTGATTGTGCTATATAAACAATTTTTGACTTGAGTTTGAAATATGAGACCAGGCAGGTTGTTCATAGTCACACAATGACAATGTAGCGTTTAAATTCACACACACAAGTTTCTTATGACTTTGTCCAGTCCGTGTCCAATGCCACAAGATCACATTATTTTAACTAGATTAAGGTACCAGAGAACAACAGAAGATACTTAAGGGTCACCTAGGGTCAAGTTGTTCTCAAGTTTCAAGGCTAGTGTCCACATGGTTAGTTAGACATTATACAAAGAAATTAGTTATGAAACAGAATTTGACATATTGGTAGAATTTGACAGAATTTGACAATTGACATAGCAGGCTTTTAGTGTTTCTAGGATGTCATGCTAGTAAAATAGTAAACTGTTATTATTATTATTATTATTATTATTATTATTATTATTTTAAACTACTGGTAATTAACTATTTTAGTACAGTGTATTGACATTTAAAACGTCAAAATATGTATGACTATACATTTGTCTATTTATTGACTAGACAAAGATAAAAATGGAAAAAAGTACTTTAAAAATATATACATTTTAAATTTTTTTTTGGAAACATCTGAAGCATATGTGCACACACGTGCGCACACACACACACACACACACACACACACACACACACA